ACTGGAGTAATGATGCTGAAAATTCAGCTTTGCATCACAGAAATAAATTATATTTTAAAGGATATTAAAATAGAAACCATTATTTTATATTGTAATAACATTTTGCAAGATTATTGTTTTTTTCTGTATTTTTGATCGAATAAATGCAGGCTTGATGAGCAGAAGAGACTTCTTTAAAAACATTACAAGTCTTACTGGTCCCAAACTTTTGAACGGCAGTGTATATATATATATATATATTTAATCCAAATAGAAAATACCAAGATATTACCGTATATCACATTTCAGCCAAAAAATACCAGGATATGATTTTTTGGCCTTATCGCCCAGCCCTACTGTCAGATGAAAACGACTCACTTTGAGTCCAGAAAGCCCATCTCCACGGCCCAGAAGGTGGTGGGGTGATTGTCCTGCTGTCTCAGGAGGATATGCCACCAGAACACAGACACATGCATCAGATGACCCACGTGCTTCTTCACCTCGGGCTTTATCTTGGTCCAGCGCTCGTATATGACGTCTGTTAAACACAGCAACACTGAAACCTCTGCAGCGATGATCACTAATGATAAAGAGAGCTGCGCTCACTCACCGGGCGGCTCCATGTGAATGTACGGGAACTGGCCCTGATAGACCTACGGGAGAAACACAGAGCATCACGGGAGAAACACAGAGCATCACGGGAGAAACACAGAGCACGACGGGAGAAACACAGAGCACGACGGGAGAAACACAGAGCACCACGGGAGAAAGACAGAGCACGACGGGAGAAACACAGAGCATCATGGGAGAAACACAGAGCACGACGGGAGAAACACAGAGCATCATGGGAGAAACACAGAGCACGACGGGAGAAACACAGAGCATGACGGGAGAAACACAGAGCATGACGGGAGAAACACAGAGCATGACGGGAGAAACACAGAGCATCACGGGAGAAACACAGAGCATCACGGGAGAAACACAGAGCATCATGGGTGTGCTCAGAACCAATCATACTCACAATCTTGGTTCGGTGTCGCATCACATCCACTCCTTCCTCCAGATCCGAGTCTTCTGAGTCCGACATCCTGAAACCACACAAAAACAAAACATGAAAGTTTCAGATTCCCTCTGGCCCAGATCACACTTCTTCAGTCACACCAAAAGAGGTTCGTTTCCCACAATGCACATCATCTGAGCCGCACCTACTCTTACATCAAAGCATGACACACGCTAACACGGCTCACATACGTCATACGTGCAGTATCTGCGTCATACGTGCTCTCTCACACACGAACACGGAGTTTCTCCTCAGCTCGACTGATTTGAATGTTTGTCGTCAGCAGCGCCTGAAACACGAACCCGGAGCTCGCTAACACTCGGGCCGCGCGTTCAATCCAATAAAACACAACACCTGCTGGCGACCCACACGTGAATTAACGTGTTTAATGATTAAACAGGTGAAACGGATGAACTTCAGTAAGTTAAACGCGACGCGCGTGTGCCGCGACGCGTTGCAGTTGTTTACTTGAAATAATTAGAGACGTTTACCTTAAAAACGTCGCTGTCGCGCAAACGCCTGAGGTCTGCTCTTACAGTGCGACATCCCGCTGTGTTATGAATATGATTAACGGTGTTTATTACCTGTTTTTGGGCAAAGCTTAGATTGATCGTTTCCTGGTGTCTGTCGTTGGTTTCGTGATCTGCAGCGCGAGCGCGAGGGAACGTCTCTCCCGCGCTCTAGTGTTCTCCCGCGGAATCGCAGGCGCCTCTAGCGCCCTCTAGTGCTTCCGCAGAGCGCTGCGTGTCATTAAAGATGAAAGGATGTGAATATGGATTTAGATTACTTTTAGCTCTTTTTGTAATTGTGTAAGAGAGTCTATCGTGCATTTATATTGAATGTCCCTGGCTGTTCGTCTTTGTTTTGGTCTGAGATGTCACAATTTCCAAGTGTTTCAAATAAACTGCATCCTAGTCTTAAATTTATCATCTGTTTTACTTTTACTTCGTTCAAATGAATATGACTTTTCTAAAAGAATAATATTTATTATTGATTTGTATTTGTTATTAGGAAAATTTTATATTCATCAAACTAAATGGAGTAACTCAAACCCCAATTTTGCTCATTTGCTTTAAAGTTTATTTAGAATCTGTAAAGTTTTTTTTTTTTTTAATTGAAAAGCCCAAAGAGCTGTGTCTGCTGAATGAATTTAACACGTTTGTGATGCCCATTGATTTTTTCTTTATCTTTTAAGTTCTCTTTTATTTTATTTAACTTGTTTCAATTTGTACTTAATGTGTAAATGTGAGAAATATGTCAAGAACTTGCTGTTGAATTCTGTAATTTTGAAAGTTTAATTAAAGAATAATAATAATTGTTTCTCTTCTCTTGTTTCTCAGAATTGTGAGATAAAAAGTCGCAAGAACCTTTTGTGTGTGTGTGAGTGAGTGAGAGAGAGAGAGAGTGTGTGTGTGTGTGTGTGTGTGTGAGTAAGTGTGTGTGTGTGTGTGTGTGTGTGTGAG